TTTTATAATGAAAAAGAATAGGAACATTTGTCCTTTTCCCAGAATCCTGCATTTTTTTAATCATCTGCCCCACCCCTTGCATTGAATGTGAAGAATTGTAAAATATGTTCATCTAAAAAATGCTCTTGCTAAGAGCAAGAGGGACCCAGGACCCACACTTGACCTTAGTGTGGTGAACAGAAAATAGAGAGGGCAGTAGGAGATGGCATCTTGAAAGAAATGCTGTTTTGCTTTATGCCTTGGAAGCCTCTGTGATGAGAGCATCTTCGGTGTTCCTGACAAATGTTGTCACTGCAGTGTCCTCTGATCTGTGGTTACAGTCAGTCCTCACTGGTTCATAAGGCATCATTTAATGTTATTATGCAGATAGACACTGAAAACTGGAAGATGAAAGAACTTTGAGCAGAGGTGGATATGCCACAAAACCAGTGAGACTTCGGTTGTAGGGCCCTTTGTTGACACTGATACTAGCCATGGCCTGGAGAAGCCCCAGCAATGTGCTCTCCTGGTCAGTCTTTGCATAATTAGAAAAAGTAAGATATATTAAATACAATTATTTGAATCTGCTAAATTTTTCTGTTCCAACTCTGTGCTATCAGGCTTCCCCTTGTGTTTGGTGATGTTAGAATAGCAATCAGTGTGTTCATAGTTAGCATACAGAGGGACGCTTATTTGGGAATACATTTAGTTTGGATTAGTGGGGTATATTTTTGTGATTTGCAGTCACATACACGTAGAGTTAAGCTACTACTACAGAACCCAGAGCAGGAATGATTTCTGCAAATATCCCTACCACCCACTCTGCCGATCCTGCCAGCTCCCCTTCATGAAGATCAGAGCCAACACTATTTCTGGATACTGACATGCCCTGTGGCACACACCCCTGCTAATATGTGGGCACGGGAGGGGAAACAAGACTTTGAAATGTACAGAACCAGAAGGGAGTTTGTGGACAGTTCTTCTACACCATACGTAAAAAACTCTAAAATGCAGGATTTGTTCTCACTGATATCTAGGCAAAACAGAGGCTCTATCTTATCAGAAATATCCTCAACAAATAAGGTAGCATGTACGTTGTAAACGCACTGTGCTTTGTTTTTGTTTTTTGAACAGAAGTGCAAAACCAAAATTTTTCAGAATCTCTGTCGGTCACAAATATATGGAATACTAAAAAACAAACATGCCTGTAAGTAAAACCATGTTTTATGCATCCTAAAAGTTTTGAATTGTGTTTTAGGATCTCTGATTCATCTGGTCCTGAAATAATCTGATGGTTCCTGGTGGAAGACCTTGCAAATTTCCAGTGACACAGTAAGAGTGGCTAAAGAAACAAATGTTAGTGTGACAAAACTTCTACCTATGTAAATAATAAGCAGCATAAGTTGTGTAAGAGTAATCTGAGTACACAACTATTTCTCCCAATATGAGAAAAAATTTACACTGACCTGGTGTATGTTTTCATTTCAGATTAATCTTATATTTTTCCAGAATTATTATTTTTTAATCCATATTCAACTATGTAAGGAATAAAATATCCTAGCAGAAGCCAGAAACATAACTTGAAAATAAGAAGACAAAATTCTACATATCGAAGACCCTTTATACATAAGCACCAAAAGTAAAAACTCTAGTAAAAATTACAAAGATAAGGAATAGAATTACCATAGTCTAAGAAATATAATGAAAATGACAAAAAGAAATAAGGAAGATTAGAAGTATCAGGATACTACCAACAGAACACACACTGTAGAAGAAAACTGAAATTGTTATAGAATAAGTCAGTTTGTATGAACATCAGACATCATAACATCCAGGAAGCCAAGAACTACTTCATTATGATGAATTCATTGACTTAAATAAGCACCGTGATCTTTTATTAGGCTTTGTAATAATTTCATTCAATACAGCTTAAAGGAAATCAGATATTTTTCAAAATATCTGGTCCCAATAATATTGAAAGTAAATCAAAGAAAATTTATAAAATTCAAAAGAGAAGAATCAAGAAAACAAAAAGGAAGCAAACTTGTATACAATCCTGGCTACTCTCATTCAAGACTAGAAATTGTGCATATTATTTAATTTGTAAACTACTCTTAGCAAGACCAGTGCTACTTAAGGACTCAAAATTTTCTGGATGAAGGTATGAAAGCCCTGAAGATTACTCAACAAAGATTAAGCAGGCTGTTTACTTGCATTACATGTAAATAAATTAAAATGTACCAGAACAAGAAAGAAGGGGTATCTCTTTAATTGAGTGGTTACAGTTACTAAGTTTTTTAAGTGAAAGAGATTTTGTCCTTCAGAGATTACTGTGAAAAGTTATAATCTTAAAATAATAAGAGCTTCATGGATAACTTCAAATTAATTGCTTAACAGATTCATTTTTGCACAAGCACTTTCTTGTGCCAGTGGATGAAATGGGCAAAAGGCAACTTACTTGCCCAAAGGAAATGATCAAAATAATTGGAAATTCCTACAAAATGAAATAGCAAAGAAAATGAATACACCAGACATCAAATATCACTGCATTGTGATAGATTGTATAGTATATGTTATAAACACAGAATAATTATTGGATATTTCCCTTATATTAGAAAACCCTAAAAGTGATTTTAACTTTTTTATCAACTTAAGATCGTGTATCTGTATTGTTATTCAACAAAATGGAACTAGTTTTGGACAATTATAACCAGCCATTGAGCAACATTTTAAAGCTATAGTCTTTGGAGAAAGACCTGCTCCCACAGTGCCTGAAGCTGTTTACTACTTCACTATTTTGCAACCTTCATGTTTCCCTACAATCTGTTTTGTCAATGAGTATTTTAAAATCCTTGCTGGCTTTTTGGAATTTGGGCTTTTTAAAAGAGTCTAACTGTAATAAGGTGGCCTACCCTTTATGAAGGTATTATAAAATTGAAAGGACTCTAAAATATGTTTTGAGTACTTGAAAGAAGACTGAACAAGCCAAAATGCGACTCTTATTCAAAAGTCAATATAGCTCAAATACATTATTTGCATTTAGAAATTTACCTTTGGAATATTTTGATGAAAGAACTGAGAAATTACGGACCCCCAATTTGAATGCATATGAAAAAGACCTACTTTTGTCTTCTTTTAATTTATTTATTAAACCATTGGGAAAAACTCATATAAAATGAATTAGCCATGAAATGAAAGAGCAAAGATGAGTGATATAATTAACATAAATTTTGTTGATGTAATGAAAAAGCTGAGCAAAGAATGTTCAGATCATACCAAAGTAATGGAGGTAAAGTTTTAAACAGAAGTAATTAGCAGCTCTTGAGTTGTTCAATAAAGCAACGGAGACTGGTGAAATGAAGACATGAAATATTGACATTGTCAACAGCACTGCAATGAGAACATTGATGAAAACTGTTTCATGCGTGTCATTGATTCAAAATACAAGTCAGTGTGCAAGAACACATGAAATGCCCTGAAATCACACAGTTCACATAAGAAGGAAATCTGACAGCTTTTTGCAAATGTGGCAAAAATCCAAAAAAAGTTAAATGATGTTACCAGTAACAAATAATGAAAATGAAATAAAATTTTCTGATTTTAATGCATATGAAAAATACCTTTCATGAGGAAATAAAAACAAATTTCAATCAATCATGCTACAGACAAAATTATGTTTCTATTCTCTCCATAGAAAATATTGTTTGACAAGATCATTGTCATATGAAGAGGGAACAAAAAGTACAGCAGCCAAATTATTTGGGAAAAAATATTAAACAGATGAGTGAGGAAGTTTATTAATAAAACATACTGTTTTCTTGGGGGGGTTATCTGCTGTATTTTTGATAGCTACTAGCTTTTTAAATTTGTAATTTGTTGATTTTATTATTCTAAGCAGTAACTCACAATCTTGTACTACTTTTCTTAAACACATATTGTTTGAGTATTAAGTTTTAAAAAATTTGGATCCTATACTGATCCTGAGTTTTGGTAGTCTTAGTCCATATTTGGGCATTTCAGACTACTACACCATTTTAGCCTCAGACTACAAGAAAATAGTTTTCAGGGCAGAACATTTTCCCCAAAGGTGCTTCACAAAGGAAAAGGAGAGCAATTCATTTACAGGTCATCCACTCCTTATCTTTCTCCACAGTGGGTCAGGAGAGGACATGGTTCCCTCTGATAGGAAGCTTGTGGTGTTCTCACTGGATGAAAGTGTCTTTAATCTAAACGGTCTGCTGAGTCTCTACCTCATTCATGAAATGCTTGACTCTATTCCCTTCATCTTTCATTGTGTATCAGCCACAGGGTCTCCTCTGAGTTCCTTTCCGCTAGTAACTATTATCAGTGCAGGAGGCAAAAATAACACTGGGCACAATGTTAGAAAGCATTTAGAAGACTTTGAAGAACAAATCCTCATTTATTCACACATAAATTCATTCATGCAGCCAACAACCACATGTGGAAAAACTCTTATGTTCTATATCTCATCTAGGACAGATATGAGGAAACTGAAAAGAGTGACAAGTTTTCAAGTCTCAGAGGAACCCATGACTACAGAGGTCCTACATTTTGAACAGCTGGCCTAGTGTGAATAGTGAAAGTAAAACCAAGAAGTCTGCTTTTTCTGTTTCTCTCTTCTTTACCCACCTACCTCATTCCTCTGGACAGAGCTATGGCCAACGCATCACAATGTGCTAGATGGTATTAAAGTCAACTGGGATAATCTGGGAATTACATTTTCCAATTTTTGCCTCTTTTTCCTCTGCTCCATTTTCAGTTTCTGTATTTGTCCCAACTACTGTCCCACTTTATTGAACTTGCCTTCTTGGCCTAGGCAGAAGAAAGATCTTGTAGAATAAAATGAAATAGTGTAAATTTTGTCAGGTAGTGATTTCAAGGCAGCTGCTGTTCCAGATGTGGTTTTGTTCATGCACCAAGTGTCATCCCTAAGTGTCCCTTAGTTCTTGATAGAAACCTATTGTTCTGTTGAATGATTTTTCTGTTACTAAAAGATCACTGGGTGCTAGCTTTGGCAGCCCTCTACTAAAACTGGAGTGATACAGAGAAGATTAGCATGGTCCCTGTGCAAGGAAGACATGCAAATTCGTGAAACATTCCATATTAAAAAAAAAAATCATTGGAACCACTTTGCTTTCTTTAGCAGAGAGCAACATAACTTTATGATCCTGCCTCAAGGCTATATCAACTATCTAGCCTTCTACTGTTGTCTAGTGTGCAGGGAATTTAATTGTTCTTCTCCTCCTCTGAACATCATTCTAGACCATCACTGGCCATACTGATTGGCGCTGATGAACAAGAAGTGACAATTTCACTGGACAGCTTGGCATACCTATTTGCTTAGATGTCCCTTTTTGGTTTGGCCATGGCTACCTTCCTCTTATAAAACCTTAGCTCTTGTCAGGCAACCCTTTTTTAGCCTAGGGGTTACACTGAGTTTCATTAACTATTACTACCTCTTCAGATCTGGTAATGATGGTACCTTCTCCCTCTTGATAGCCATGGATGTCTCACCATTCCTTGATAGTTTGCCTAAACCCTACTTATACCTTAGAACAACATTACCTAGGTTAAATTCTTTTTAAAAATAAAATAAAATGTAAAATTACTTTATCAACTAATCAATCAATAATGTAGGCTTTATCCCCAGACTCCTAAGAAGAGGTTGCTACTTTCCCCTACAGGCAATTATGTCCATTTAACTTTACTTTCTCTGTAGGTGAATATGTCCCTAGACTTTATGAATTATCTTAAGGAACAAATTCCCATTTGTCTTTATGGATAGGCTCTGTATCCTATCTTATTTTTATCACTGTGGTGCTTTCATTTGCAAAATCTTTCCTTGAATTATGATTTGTTTCGTTATACAAGTAGCAGAAAACCTAATTCAAACTACCTTCAATAATGCAAAAAAAACCTACTGGTAGATGGATCTGAGGTACAGGTTGGTACATAGACCTAGATTTGGGGATTCTAAAGGTAACTAAATTCAGATTAGTCTTGACCCAGGAGTTACTAGTTTTGCAATGAGTCTGGTGTCAGAGCACATGTATTATTAGGTTGAATTAGAAGTTTCTGACCACAATTCAAAGGACATTCTTCAGCAATATCTATTTTATCAATACTTATAATATTAGGGATACACAGAAGCTTGACCTTGGTCACAAATTCGGCCAAAATCTGCTCTTTAGCTTCAATTTTAGTCTCAGCACTCAGAAGTTTGAAGATCTGGAGATGTATTTCAATGCTATTTCTGGGTTACCTGAACTGACTTTTGCATGAGTAATGATCCATGATAGCACATGTGATAACAAAGTCTTCATGAGAAAAAAACATCAGTAACACAAACAAAGTATTTTATTTAGATTTAGTAGGAACATCTGGCTATTCCCATACAAGTTTAGTAAACATTCTAGATATAACCTGGATTTTTAAAAAATCTCATTTGTTTTTTATAATGAAAGTCTCCTGGTCATAAAGTATAATGATTATTATTGCATGAGAAAAAAATGGTAATGTGAATTCTGCTGTTTAATGAATAACACTAAGTGAAGAACATTCATGTACTTGAATATAAATCGTTATTACAAAAATAAAAAATACATTAGCTAAATAACTTTAAGAATAATATTTTTGAGCTAACAAATATACATAAAATCAAAATAATAATACAGGACAGAATAACAGAATTTAGACATAAACATTTTCTAGTCTTATAAATTTGTTTGTTACACTAGCATTTATAATGTTAGGCAAAGTAGACTTTAAGGATTTTTTTATTTTTAAATTTATGAGCTGTGTCTTATGTTATTTAAATCATGAATCTTAAAAACCCCACAGAAAAATTTTTCACATGAAGATAGTTAAAGCAGAACATCAACTTTGTTATCTAAAAGTTTTCCAAGAAGAAAAACACTCCAGAGTAATAAACAAAATCTACAATAAGTCATTTTTATGTAAATGTCACCAAAAATACTAAAAGTTTAAGGAAAAGAAGAAAGTAGGAGAAAAAAAATGAGGTATTGAAAGACATTTTATTCTCACTGATCCAACTTCTGGTCCTTAACAGATTGTGTAAGAAAGGTTCAGAAAGGAAATCTTATAGTCTAGAGTCTATGGAGGCCAAATATTTAAACCAAAAGCTTGCCAAAATTTTTGCTATCAACTGCCAACAATTTGGTAATTGAACATGAAGACTACTTTTTCACATGTTCCTAAGCTAATAATTACAGGTATAATATTCTTTTTAAAAATGCACGTTGCTGTGCAATGAGCCCATTCAAAATTTTTGAGCATTTCAAATTACCTCTGGCTGTGGAATTTGATTATCCAAGTAGCAAGTGATGACTAAGTAAGCAGAGTTATCTGCAATAATAAATACTGAAAGTTGTATGTCAAATCCATTGTGTCAACACCCCTTCTGCTGAGGACACCGTGATTTCCTCCTGCATCACAAATATGTGCACTCTGGAAGTGCTGCTTTCCCTGAAGAGAGGCTGACTCTACTATGCCTGTGTCTATGAATGCCACCGCAGGAGATTTTGATTGTCCTTTCCAGCTTCTAGTGGGAAAATGATCTCCTCTCCACTAAATCCAGCATCAAGACTTGCTGCCATTTTAGAAAAGCCATTTCTCTTTTGGTTATTTTCCATCTGTCACTATTAAAATCTCCCTGGTTACATCTCTTGATGTTAAAAACTGTCGGTTTGAAAGCAAAAAAAAAGAGGCTTACCAAGACTGAGCCTAATTTTTTATGCATAATAAATGTACTTGCATTTTTACATTCACTTTACTCATTCAACAAATTCATTGAATACCCATTATGTGCCAAGTACTTTTCCATTTGCTGTGAGACAAGTTTGCTTTCCCCCTTATCACAGATAAAGCAACTGAGAATCTAAAGGCATCACTAGGCAATTTATTACAAAGCACAACTAGAATCCAAATATGAGTCTTAGTTTTTTATTCAGCTCAATGATATCTGCCGTTTAATTTAGTTCATTTGCATTTAATATATGATTATTCATGCAGTTGGTTAAAGTCTACTAAATTTATATTTGTTTTCTGTTTATGCCATTGGTTCTTCATTGCTTGGGCTTTTGTTTATATTTTTTAAAAAAATAATTGTTCTACCGATTTCTCACTTTATCCTAGTTTACCTTAAATTGGTATTATGCCCCATTCACATGTAATGTTAGAACTTTAGAATTGCATAATTTCATCCTCCCATTCTTTCTTTCTGATTTTGTTCACAAGTTTTACTTGTAATGATATATCCCCAGAGTATGACATTTTTAAATGCCACTTGCCTTTTAAAGAAATGAAGAGAAGTAACTCAGTTATATTTACCCACATAATTAACATTTCCAGTGATCTTAATTCTATCCTGTATATTGAAGTTCAAATCAGGTATAATTTTCAATTGTTTTGAAGAATTTCATTTAGCATTTTTTGGGCTGCAGATATGCTGTAGGATGTTTGTTCTTGATATAGAAAAATTTCTGTGATTAAAAGCTTTCCTGTCTGATTTTTCTCCTTTCTGCTACTTCAAAAATGTTATTCCATTGTCTTCCAGTTTCCATAATTTCTGATATTTCCTGTGGTTGTTTTACTGTGTTTTATCTTTTCTTTTTCTTCTTCCAGGCTGTTTTTAAGATAGTCTCTCTAAGTTCATTAGTTTGACTACAGTGTTCCCAGGGTATAGTTTTATTTGTATTTTCTCTAATTTGGTGGTTGATATCTTTCTTGGATTAATGGATTGACTATTTTTTAAACAAATTTAGAAAGTTGTGGCCATAATTTATTTATATATATTTTTTTCTGTCCTTGCACCTCTTTCTCTGTGACTCCAATTATACACATATACTCACCCACTTAACCTAGTATCACAGGTCAGTGATATCCTGATCATTTTCTTTTTCAGTCTTATTTGTCTCTCTATTTTTCTGAACATCTATTCTTTGGAGTATTTGTATTGATTTGTCTTCAAGTTCACTAATTCTTTGTTTAATATTCTGTCAAGCCATTCAATTAATGTTTTAATTTTGTTTATTATACTTTTCAATTCCAGAATTGCCACCTGATTATTTTTACAGTTGCATTTCTTTTTTGAAACATTCATTTTTTCTCATGTTGTATGCATATTTTCCTATTAAATCTTTAACATATTTGTGGTGGTTGTTTAAAATTTCTTGTCTACTATGTCTCATATATGGGTCATGTGTAGGTTTGCTTCTGTTGAGTCTTTTAACTCTTGATTATGGGTAACATTTTTCTGCTCTTCACATGTCCATGTTTTATTGTATCCAAGACATGTGAATAAAAGAACAGTGGAGAATAAAATATAATTTATTTTGTTTGGTTTGGTTTTAATGTTTTTCCAAAGAATTCAGGCCTTTCTCTTAGCACACTGGGTAGGATGAGGCAACAGTCATTCAGACTTTTCCTACGTATGAGTAGAAATGGTGCTCGGCTGCAGTTTTAAGTACCTTAACTTCACCTCTCTGCCAGTTTTATTTGAAGTAAGTTCTCATTGCTGCCACTGATGGGCAGACCTTTTTTATTTTGTGTGTGTGTTTTTTTGTCTGAGAGAGGTTTCAGTGACCATTAGTAGTTCTGATTAAATTTTTTTAATCAGCTCTTCTAGGGAGCTGAAATCCATGCATTCTAGGAATATGGGAGGCTGTGAATTCTCCACTTTCAGTCTCTCCTCCTCTATTGTTTCCTGAAAAAATTCTGCAGTTGTGTGGAGGAGGACAGAGAATTCAAGGACTGAGAGATTTATTTAGAGCTCTTCTAGAGCCACATAAATCCTCCTAGCCCACTCTATCACCAAGGGCTTCACCAATTTTTCCTCATCCCTTTAAAGTACCCCGGTCTAAGACACACTGGTTCTTCTGAAGACTCTTCCCAGGCACAGAAACTTCCATGGCTCTATGTGCTCTATGGGCATCTATCAAAAGTTTCTCCTCTGGAATTCAGTCTCTCAGGTTGTTTTTGCATCCACTGTTCTTCTATCATCCCATAGAAAATAATAATTTTTCTTACATTCATTTATTTATCTTGTTGGTTCCATGTAAACAAAGATATTATATCTTTTTTTACATCC